GGTGCCGGGGGAAACGGTTTTGGCGCGAAATCATGTGGACCCGCCGAGTCAGCGACTGGGCGCCTTCGTCGTCCTCATCGCTTCGGTTTCCCGCGGGAATCAATGCGAAGGCTGCCGCCGGTCAGCCTTCCATTGATTCCTCACGGGCGGCGCAGTGAAGGCGCGCCGACGCGTGTCCTGCCGCCTCCTGCTACGCGTACACACGGTTGTCGCCCGCTCGCCGGCCACCCGCCGCTATAAAAGCCGCCCCTCCCTCGTCGGAGCACGTGCGGCAGCAGCCGAGGTACGCCCCCGACAGCCACACGCTGTGGACGGCGTACTTCGACCGCCGCCACGCTGACCAGCTGTCTGCCACGAACGGTGTCGAACCGCGCGGGCGCCTCAACTCCGAGGGGTGGCACCAATGGTGGGGCGTCCCCGGGCGGACCTTCGTATCGAGGGCGGCAACTCGCCGCGGCTGGAGTACCCGACGCCACCTTCCTCTCGCCACTGCGGCAGCTCCTAGACGCTGAGGCGGATGGAGACGCTGTCGTCGTCCTCCCGCTCCTTCGGGTCGCCGGCGCTCCTCCTATCAAGTCGGAGCCGCGGGAGACGCCGCTCGGGCGGCGCACCCAAGGCGGTGCCCTCGTCATCAACAAGGGCGGCCATGGCCCTTCTCCCTCCTCCTGCCTCGTCAAGCCGAAGGCCGAGCCGGCGCTCCTTCCCGTGAAGGAGCACGAGGCCATGGCCGCCGATGAGGAGACCGACCTCAAATGGGCGCCGGACGACTACGTCCGTAAGGAGATGGAGCGCCAGCACCGCGCCCTCGAGGAGATCGCCCCCTGGCGCCGCGGCCGCGAGGAGGGTGGCGTCGTCATCCTCGACGGCAGCGACGACGAGACGCCCGAGCCGTCCAACCCCGTCTGCCACGGTGACCCAGGGTAGGGGTTCAACAAGGATGGCGGCGGCGTGCAGGACGGCGGCGACTACACCAACTTGTACAGGCTCCTCGGCATGTAGAAGGCTCAGGGGGCGGCGGGTGGCGTAGGTTTTTTTATGTTTTATTATTTCTTCTTTAAGTATGTACAAATATGAATGAAAACCGTCGAATATTAGCCGAATTCGTGTCTTTTTCGTCTAATTTTAGCCGAATTTTAGTTCAAATAACGGTGTCTGGGGCCCGACCTGGGCCGTGGTTGGGAACTCGACCGCCCCCACGCCGATTTTATTGCCGATTGCCCCCCAGGCGGCGCTATTTCAAGCCCCTGGGGGCTGAACGGCTGGAGATGCTCTTAGCCGTATACTGCTCACTTTACGAGTCCAAACCATAATGTATGAAACTAGAGAAAATAAAGACTAACTAAAGTTGTATACCAAATCCAACTATACTTTCTAGGAATTTTAGATTTGTAGTTGTATAACTAGTACAATACAACTCTAATGCTATACCATTTTGCATCTAGCTGTGCATTTGTGTGGGATTTTTGGTGAGTTATGGTCTAAATACAAATTATAAACTTTCATAAGAAGTTTAATTAAGTAGAAAAACCATAAATAAAATAAGAATAAATGATACTCTTTTAAGTACAAATAAATAAACAGAATCGTGTATTCACAGGTGATGGTGACACTGATGACTATCCAAGGGTCAGCTTTGAATAAAAAGGGCATCCCGGTGCATGTAGCTCCCGCTTACGCAGGGTCGAGGGAAGGGTCCGACCACTTTGGGTCTTTTGTACGCAGCCTTTCCCTGCATTTCTGCAAGAGGCTGTTTCCAGGACTCGAACCCATGGTCACAAGGCAACATCTTTAGCATTGCGCCAAGGGTCAACTTTGAATCTTTATCTTTTTGTTTTCGTGATGGATGAGGTCACAAGGGATATACGGGATATACAAGGAGATATTCCATGGTGTATGCTCTTTGCAGATGAAGTGCTTTGGCGATAGTCAGACGGGGGTTAATAGAAAGTTAGAGCCGTGGAGACAGACTTTGGAATCGAAAGGTTTTAAGCTTAGTAAAACTAAGACTGGGCACATGAGGTGTGTTTTCAGTACTACTAGGCACGAGGAGGAGGTTAGAGCATCTCTAGCAGATCCCGCAACCCGTTGTCCCATATAAATCGTTTATGATATCCCTAGGACGCCGGGCACGCAGTCAGAACAGATCCGCTATACTGATACTGCAAATTTAAACATACTAGCTCACGCTAAAACATCTCGCCAGAGTTCATCACACGCATAGCATAGCATAGGGGAGTTCATCACACGCATAGCATAGGGGAGTTTTTAATAATACAAACCGAAATGAAAACACTAGCATAGATCTACTCATTGCCGGAGTCGCTGTCGTTGCCGGAGTCGTTGTCGCTGCCATCGCGGGGCGGGGGCTCGTTGCTGTGGAGGGTGTTGTAGATGAACGTGTTGGAGACGGTCGTCGCGAGCTGGTACTCCTCCAGGAGCGCCGGCAGGTGCGAGCCGTAGCTGCATCTCTGGCTGCGGCAGCCTGCTTTGCCTCAAACCACGCGGTCCCTGCCACCCTACGGCGCTGGAGGGCTGGATCGAAGAGGTTGCCGAAGCGCCGGAAGCTCGCCCACACCTGCAAGCAGGCGCTGCGGGACTTCGCGCCGCGGGTGCGCGCCGCCTCCCTCTGCCTGCCCGACACGGGAGGGTGGAGGCCGGAGCCGCCGGCCTCTTCGTCGTTGTGGCGCTTGCGGCGTCGGCCGCCATGGTCCCCAAACCCCCCCGCGGCACCCGAAGCCGCCGTGGTCGCCAAACCCCCTGCCGCTTCCATGGCATGCACCGGCGAACGCGCCGCCAAGATCCTGTGGAAAACTAGCCGCAAAATGCTGCCGGAGCGGGCTTGATTTCTCGCCGGAGTAGATGATATGCAGTGGAGAGGGGTAGAGGAAATGGCGGATGGATACCCTAAATCGCCCGGACGCCGGCATATATACCGGATTGGAGGGCGGTTTACGGGCCCCCCGTATAGTTTTTACTGTCCGGGCCTTTTTTGGGGGATCCGCTGGGGCCGATTTTTTGGGCCATCCCGTATAACGGCTCGAAAAGCGTAGTTCGCCGGGCTTTTATGGGGTCTGCTAGAGAAGCTCTTAGCCTTGATGGGCAGAAGGTACGTCAGAAGGACAACTTTTGATATTTGGGGTCAATGCTGTAGAAGGATGGTGAATGTCGCGAGAGTCGTTGAGAGTGACCAGCACAGCCTGCGGAAGACGCTGGGAGGGGATAGCGTCACAGGCGGACGAGCACCAAACACCGAAAGACGACGCATGTGCGAGACAGGATCAGTGTAGGGAACACCGTCAAGAGTCAGCAGGCAGCAAGAAAGATGCATACCTGATGAAAGCATTATTTTTTTAATTGATCTTGGTCATGTCGTCAATCGTCGTGCGTGTTGGCGGAAGGCACAAGCGTGTTGGAGAAGGTAGGAGGGTCTGGCAGGAGGCAGCAACACCCGGGTGGAAGATAGAACCGACCAGCTGAGTGTACGAGGGAGACCTACAGGCGGGCGTGCTCCAGTGGGAAGCTAGCTGGGTGAGTCGGGCATGCTCCAGTGGGCAGCTAGCTGGATGAGTTGACCTGTGGGCGTGGAGGGGAGGGGCGGCAGCAGAGGAGAGGTGCCGCAGGCAGTTGCGAGTTCTTGGGCGAAGTGGCTGGTGTCCTAGGGGGAGTTGGACAAGAGCAGCTCAAGGCGGTGGCTGCCTGCTGGGGAGTCAGGGGAAACGACTTTCACATCAAGTAATCGATCTGATCGACGAAGAAATCAAACTGAAGGAGAGATAAAAAAAAGGTCTGATCGAGGACGACAGATTGAGATTGAGCGTGGAGTTGTGGCACGTGGGAGGAGAGCTAAACCCAGGACGTTTCTAAAGATTTGGGGCCCCGGGGCGAAATCTAATTTGGGACCCTAAAATTTGTATAGTTCATATGACATCGGTTTCATAGCTTGGGATTAAAATGGAAAGGATCGCTCACATGCATGTGTGGTTGCTACTTGCTAGATGGAAATGGAAACTGCACACACACACACACACACACACACACACACATACACTAGCAAAAGAGCCCGTGCTTTGCAACGGGAGAAAAAATAACACACCTCTGCGAGGTTTTGTCATTGTGTGCATGCGTGATTATAGATGATTGCACTCAAAACAACATTTTAACAATATTTAATGGGCAAAATAACATAATGTTCAGATTCTACACATTTTTAATCAAGTTCTATATATAACATGTTAAAATTGAAGTTATGATTTAAAAGATGTGAACATTTTTTAAAAACATATGATATGGACTGTGGGTTGATTTTCGAAACTGCAGGGGGCTTTGTGTAAAAATTGAAACATTTTCTTCATGTCACTTAAAGTAGTATTGCAGGTTAATTGCCAAAAACTATAGGGTTTTTTGTTTTGTCTATTTGTTCCAGTTCTGCTGCGACATATCACATATGCAGGATTCTCCATCGAATTGAATCTTCTGCCTCAATTCACTGTTAGATCTAATTTGCTCTATTCTAGCTTTCTTTTGTTTTCGATGCATATTTGCATATTTTTGCCTTTCTCGCGTGTATTTTGTGCCTTTTTGTGTTGGCTCCATATTTGCATACTTTTTTCTCCCTTGTGTACATTTTTTTACAACTTGATCGAATCTTCAATTCTTTTGTTTTGCTGATAGGCTTCACTATGCTTTTCAGTTTTTCATGTTTTTCCTTCTTCGGTCATCTGTGTGTGGTCATCTGTGTGTATCGCTCTCTATCTCTTTTCCTTCTTTGTTCCTTGGCATCCATGAGAGTTTTCTAGAATATAGAAATCTGTTGTTGATAAAAAAATGATAGACTTTGCATCATAAATAGAGCATGTGAGTACTCATATATTTATTTAATTACAATATATATAAACATCAAAATTGTGCAGATATCACAGTATAAAAAAATGATTAGACTTTGCATCATAAAATAGAGCATGTGAGGTACTCATGTTTTCTAGAACGGAGAGGTATTGTTATTTGTACAATAATGTCTTATTTCTTCTTCGCAATCATTTTTAAAATTGTGCAGCCATTTAGGCGTACGGTTTAAGTTGATATTAGCCATCAGCATGTCGCCATAGCTACGCACTACACAGTCTATCTCTTTTTCTTTGAGGGAATACACAATTGTATAACTGTACATGGCGGCTAAGTGACGCAGGCTCCACACTTGTTCTTATCCCCTTTCTCTCGTACTCACTGCAAAATCCCCCTTTTCTCTTCACCTCGTTGGGAGCGGCCGCCGCGTGCTGCCTCCTTGCCATCTCCAACCTCGCCGGGAGAGGAGCTCCTCTACCCCGATTCGCCTCTAGTAGGCCAGCTAGCCGCCACCCTGCCTTGGAGCTCGCCGCCTCCGCCCACCTCTCCGTCGGCTTCATTCTTCTCCGCCTCGATTCCGTCCGCCGCCACTGGATCCACGCTGGAGCAGCCGGATCTGCCGCCTCCTGCCTCGCCTACCGTAGGGAGCAGGACGACCGATAGAATTGCCACCTCTCTGTCAACTTCGTTCTCCTCCGCCGTGATTCCGTCCGCCGCCGCCGGATCCACGCTGGAGAATCGCCCGTTCGTTCGCGGCTGGGCTACGCAGCTGCCTCAGCCCAGCTTGCCCGCGAAGCCGTCGTCGTCCATCTCTATGTCGAACTCGACTGGAGGCAGCGTGTGCCGGCGAGGTTCCAAGAACCCCTCTTTGTTCCTCTCTCTATTGTCCCTTTTTTGTTTCCTTCTTGATGTTCTTCTGCTCCCGAGCTGAGCATATCACGCATGTTGTTTATTTGGATCCGGGCAGGCGCGCCGACGGGGATGGCGGTAGCGGCGCGCGTCGATGTGGGGGTGGGCCGGCGGCGCGTGGTGAGGCGGGTCGGGCGTGGCGGGAGGTGGCAGCGCGCTGGAGGTGAAGATGGGATTGGGAGGCAGCGGGCGTGCGGGTGGCTGCCTTGATGTTCTTTTCTGTCCCATGTATCGCTTCAGTTTGATTTATGGATTGCGGGTAAAATATTCAAAACCATAGGGGTTGTTTTGTAAAAAGTGTGTGAACGGGGCGGACGAAAACGAGAACGTAGCAGGGGATATATAGATAGATTAGTACCACCTTAGATATAGAAAATAAATATAGACGTGTTGATGAAAAAAAACTGAAAGCGTAAATTCACGGGAAGAAACGTATTGTGATGGTGAACCCACGGAGTCAATCCGTGCTTTATTATTAGGGAAAGATATACACACACATGCCTCTTGGGCCTTGCAATACAGTCAAGTTGCATCCATAACATGGTATCAGAGCCTAGGCTTAGGCAGCCCCGTCAAAATTTGGGGGGCCCACATCAGTAGGTATTAGGCAGCTTGTATATTTCACAAGGCTTGGGGTACAAGGGAAGGAAACATAGCCTAATAGGACTCCTTGACCTAATACTAATACTCCTTCATAAAAATACTCCTTAATAACACTATCAATATTGCATGCGATCCTGTGAAGCATGAGGTCACCAACCTGTACGTCTATATATACTGGCCTATGGCCCCATGGGAACACAAGTTGCATATTCCTAACAACCTAGAACTGCAGCTGCCAGTAGCTCTTCGACTTGATCTGTCACTGGCCGTTCCCACCACCTTTGTTCCCTCCTTAATGCCAATGAACCCTAACCCTGGCACTGGGTGCAGCTTCATGAAAAAGATGCCTCATGCATATAGGTTGGTTGCCTGCCCTCCCTACCAGGAAGCAATGCTTGGGCCTTGGCATCCCATCCACCCTGCTCCAAACACTGAAAACCCGGTGCCAGATCGCGCACGTGTAGACACAGCCGAGAAGCATATGGTCTAGTGTTTCACTGTGTTGGTCACAGAAAGGGCACGCCTGGTGATGGGGGAGGCAATGCTGTGCCAACCTGTCTGAAGTCCAGCACCGGTTCTGGGCAGCGAAAGCGCGCAAGCTCCATATTGCCTTGGCTGTCAGCACATCTGCCAAACCGGCAAAGAAGGCTCTATATGCCGATCTAGTTGAGAAAATTCCTTTTTTCTTCCACGACCAACAAAGCATGTCTCTGATCCCAGCAGTTGGCTCGAAGAAGAGCAGTCTGGTCCACACCGAAATGAACTCCTGTAATGCCTCTGGGCTAAGGTCAGACCCAACGTCTTCAATACAGAGGCCTCTGACGTTCGTCTCCGCCACCGTGTGGTTCGTCTTGAGGCGTGGCTGAACAGATGCACAAAGGTTAGGAGACTCGTACTGCAGCCTATCACCATCCAGCCAATGGTCCAACCAAAAAAGCGTTGCCTCGCCATTGCCTGCAACAGATCTACCCTCAAACAGTACCCTGGACTCCTGTGTCACTTGCAGATTAAATTCCTTCCAGGGATTCGAAGCATCGATATGCTTCAGCCAAAGCCAGCGCGAGCGCAGGGCCATGTACAGCCATTTCAGATCAGGCAAACTAAACCACCAGCCCTCTTCGGCATGCAGACTGCACGCCGGGTCACCACAGTGCCTGCCCCTGGCGTCGGCATGACCTTTCCAGAGGAATTTTGTTTATCCCTTCCACCACCTTAGCTGCTAGGTCAAGCAACATCTTGGTGTAGACTGGGATGCGCACAGAACTCTCTTCACAAGGACTAGCCTCCCCCCTTTGGCCATGGTAGAGGCCCTCCATGAAGTCAGTCTGTTTGTCATCTTGTCTAATTCCCCTGGAGCTGTGCCGCCGACTGCTTTCGGATGCTTAGTAATGGGACTAGGTAAGTGCAAGGAAATGCTTCTTCCGGACAACAGAGATGGTTGGATATCAGCTGAAGATGCTCCTGCTGGTGCCTGATCGGTAGGGCAGCACATTTATTCAGATTGACATGCAGCCCCGATGCGATTCCAAAATCCTCCAGCATGACCAAGTACGCACTGATGTCAAGCTCCAGGTGTCTCAAGAAGATCATAGCATCGTCCACAAAGCAGGAGGGCCATTGCCACATACCTGTGCGTGCTAGCGGAGAGCCCGAGCTCCAAAATCCGCTTCCTGGAAAAACAGGTGATGAAGAACGTCCATAAAAAAATAAAGATCATGGGCAACAACGGGTCGCCCTGCCCCAAGTCTAATCTGTTCCATAAGGTATCTCCTGGCGATCCATTGAGAAGAATCCGACTCGAGGCCGTCGAGAGCAGGCCACAAACCCCCGTATCCAGTGGGAACCAAAACCTAGCTTCCACACAGCACCTCCAAAATGAATGGCCAATCGATTGTGTCGAGTGATTTGGGTATATCCAGCTTTAGCAGCATGGCATGTTGTTTCAAAGAGTGCAGCCATTGCTCCGTGCACTGGACGAGCATTATTGTGGAGGCAGCGTCCATGCACAAAGGCACTGTGATCTTCGCCAGATCAGCCGTGTGTCTGTTAGCTAGGGTTTGATTGAAAATCTTAACCACCCCGTGGATGAGACTCACTGATGGCAATCCCACATGAGTAGATGACTCATTTGGTTTTGGTGCACCGCATGCATTTTCAAATAGAACAGTTAAACAATCAATCAGTAGCCAAATTTACCATTCAGCAATACCTTTGCCTTGAACAATGTTCGTATCGCTGTTGAGTTTTAGATTTTTTCCCCTGGGTTACTTCACATGTCGGATTATCCTTTTTTCCCCTTGTAAGCCCAGAAGTTTGAAGTAGTATTAACTTGATCATTGATATTGCGTTGAGCTGAATACTGATGGTTTTTCTACCCAGTTAAATGCTAATTCTATGGGAGAAGCAGCAGCATTGATCAATGAACATGAAAACCTCAAAGGAACTGAATCTATAACTATTAAGCTAGTATCAGCAGCGGCTCTGACTGAGAACACACGGAAAGATCATAAAAATACCGAAAGTACTATTGAAGGTTCCCCAGGTTCAGAAGCACCAGTTTCTTGCTCAACTGCTGGGGGCGGTGGTTATGGTACTTCAGGAGAAGATGAATCTGGCACAGATACTTCTCCGGAAGGTATATCTGTTAATGGCACTCAGCATGGAGCTGGTAACAGCCAGGAGAATTCAGGCAGCATATCAGTTTATGTATCGGAAGATAAAGTTAACACTGAGATAGTAGAGAGTCCAAGTATACATAAATCGTCATATAAGATGGTTAGTGGCTTGATTTGTTCTGTTTTCATATGGTATTTAGTGGCTTGATTTGTTCTGTTTTCATATGATTGTTGAGTGGCTTGACTTGAGCTGTTCTTGTTCAATCCTGTAGGCCTTGGAAACTATCAAGATAGTTTCAGATGCTCTTCCAAAGATAGTTCCATATGTGCTCATAAACCATCGCGAGGTTCATCTGTAACCTTTGTAAATTGTGTCAATATTTATTTTAATGTAACTAGTGTTACATGCTGCTACATGGTTACAGGAGCTTCTTCCATTGATCATATGTGCTATAGAAAGACATCCAGATAGCGATGTACGGGATTCGTTGACTCACACATTGTTTAATCTGATAAAACGGCCTGATGGACAACAGAGGCTTATTATAATGGATGTATGTTTTTGACTATTGCTTGATACGGATCAATCTGTGTTTCTCATGATGTGGCCTGCAACTTATTCTACAAGTGCACACTTATTACTATTCTTATCATGTAAATTACCATTTTGTATTTATTCGCTCGCTACCATGCAGGCTTGCGTGGAATTAGCCACGAGTGTTGGGGAGATGAGAACAGAGACTGAATTACTACCACAGTGTTGGGAACAGGTATTCCGAATTTTCTGATAAGTCTTTTGGCCATCTTCATTTTGATATCTTATTTTAGTTAAATTGCCTGGTGTTTAGATAAATCACCAGTATGAGGAGCGTAGGTTGCTTGTTGCTCAGTCCTGTGGAGAACTGGCAATATATGTTCGTCCCGAGATACGCGATTCCCTTATCCTATCTATTGTGCAACAACTTGTCGAAGATTCTGCAACTGTTGTAAGGGAGGCTGCAACACATAATCTGGCCTTGCTGCTTCCTTTGTTTCCGAACATGGATAAATATTATAAGGTCAGTTTAAGTCTCACTAATTCTCAGAATCAGTAAAGGAGTGGAAATTTTATTTCAGTGTATTAGCTAAATGCCTGCTTTGTTGTGGGCTAATATTTGATTACGAGAGCTTAAAAGATAGCAATTCACTGAAAGATAATACTCATCTGGAAGTTGCTTAAATTTCTGTTTGTTTGGTAGGTTGAGGAGCTATTGTTTCAGTTGGTCCGTGACCCTTCTAGGGTAGTGGTGGATGTTGCTCTCAGAGAACTTGTTCCTGCAGTAGTAGGATGGGGGGGTAAACTGGATCAGATATTGAGAGTGTTACTGTCACATATCCTGGCATCTGCTCAGGTATGCATGGTTTTAAATTTGGGGACCTTATACTTTATGAATTGTAATACGTGTTCTGATAGAACTGTTATATTTCAGCGTTGTCCATCCGTTTCAGGGGTGGAAGGTACAATAGACTCTCATCTCCGTGTTTTAGGAGAACAAGAACGATGGACCATTGAAGTGCTCCTTCGGATGCTGACTGAGTTGTTACCATTTATTCATCAGAAAGCTATAGAGACTTGTCCATCAATAGACCCCTCAGAAAACTACATTTCAGAATCCAGCCTAAAGCTGTATGCAACGTAAGCTGTTTGCATATGTGATGTTGTCTTTTAACTAACCAATTACGATAAACAAAAAGAAATACTTCTCTTTTATTGATCAATTGCATCTTGGGGCACTACAGAGGTGAGACAGAATGGTCAGCATTTGAGTGGATGCACACTGAGTGCCTGCCGGATTTGATCAAGCTTGCCTGCTTGTTGCCTGCAAAAGAGGATAGCTTAAGAACAGTGATCACAAAGGTAAAACATACAAACAACATCTCCTATACCGATCCTACCATCTTTAAGTATAATTTATGATAAATTATTTCCTGCAAAATTCAGTACCTGTTGGCCGTATCTGGACGCTATGGAAAAGATTATCTCGAGCACATTATGTTACCTGTATTTCTTATAGCAGCTGGTGATATTGATAGTGGTGATTTTACCTATTTTCCTCTGTCAATCCAGTCCAAAGTTCGTGGTAAGAATCCATGTGTTTAAATGGCGGGTCTGCTTTGCTATAGTTTTTTTGTTCAGACATATTGATTGTGCTGCAGGTTTCCGTCCGAAAACTTCTGTTGCTGAAAAAATCGCTATCATTTGTGTTCTTCCATTGCTATTGTCTGGTATTTTGGGTTCTCCTTCAAGTCGTCAACAGTTAGAAGAATATTTAAGGAAATTACTTATCCAAAACACGAAGGATGGTTCATTTTCTATGCATCACACTGCCGAGATCATTGATGCGATCCGGTTTCTTTGGTTTGTACTTTGTCTAAACATGCAGCAAATATCATGATGTTGTTGAATATGCACTATTTTCATGTATTTAACTTATCATGTGTAGCATATTTGAGGAGCACCATGGAGTCATCTTTCATATTCTGTGGGAGATGGTTGCGAGCTCTGATACCTATTTAAAAACCAGTGCTGCAGCTTTACTGAAAGCACTTGTAAGTTTACTGTTACATGAATGGATCAGGGGTATGGTATGTTTTGTTCCTTGCAGTACTATTTATTGCTTTTACACACAGGTACCCTATGTTGGCGTGAAAGTTGCATCGACTCATGTTTTGCCAGCACTCATTACTCTTGGTTCTGATCAAAACTCGGCTGTAAAATATGCTAGTATAGATGCATTAGGAGCTGTTGCTCAGCATTTCAAAAGTGACATGGTATGGAAGCATCATTTTCCAATATTCCTTTATACATTACAATAGTTTTTGCAATGCCCTTACTCCATGACTGCACTGCCAGGTTGTTGACAAGATACATATTCAAATGGATGCCTTTCTTGAAGATGGATCACATGAAGCTACTATTTCGGTCATTCGTGCACTTGCAGTAGCTGTGCCGCATTCAACAGATAGACTACGTGAATATATCCTAACTACATTTAATATATACATTTTGACCAAAATTTGCATGTGTGATTCGCTCACTTGTGTGTTCACACATCTTCATATCAATCTGTTCCTCTGTTTCCTTTGACCTTGCATACATCTTTTAACCAAGATATTTAGACTTACAAGTGCCCCACCTACTGAAAATGATATTGAACGGCGTCGTGAAAGAGCAAATGTATTCTGTGAAGCGCTGCGTGCTTTGGATGCTACAGGTTGACCTTTATCCGAAATTGTCAGTGTTTCACATACTCAATAGCAGAAGCAAACTTTGTATTGAGTGTGCCTCTTATCTTTATCTGTAATGCTGCCTGTGCCTTTTGTTTATAATCTCAGTATAATTTTTGTACTTATTTGCTACATTATTCACAACCTGAACAATGCCTAGGCAATAGAAACTGCATTTGGATTTCATATATGGACTGTAATATCTAGCTAGTAATAGGTTACTGGCACATCCCATTTGTCCTACATATCAAAATTGTACCCGACAATAGAACAAGCCTTTATGTATGCTTATTCGTTTCTATTTCCCTTTTTCCGTTTCAGATCTTCCTGCTACAAGTGTACGTGATCTACTTTTGCCCTCTATACAGAACTTGCTAAAAGATTTGGATGCTCTAGACCCTGCACACAAGGAGGCACTAGAAGTTATAGGCCGGGAAAGGTCTGGAGGTACGCTGGAGAGCATCGGCAAGGCAATGGGGGCACACCTTGGGATCGCGACCTCTGTCAGCAGTTTCTTCGGCGAGAGCAATCTGCTTGGGAAGAAAGAGGGTGGAGAGCAGCACGACCCTGCTGCTGCTTCTGTTCCTCCGCAGGTGGGCTTACAAACTCAGCAGGAGAACACGAGGTTTGGTCGCATAATGAGGGGTGGATTTGGAGACATGTTGCGAGGCAAAGCAAAGGGCGGTGATGAACCCAGCTGATATTATCAACGTTGTCAATCAATACAATATTTTCCAAAGCTTGATTTCGGTCGTCACAGCATGAATAAGTTAATGTAGAACAACATGTTTGTTCATTGTTTGTACTTTGTAGTGAGATGGTATCCATGAGGATGCCGCGCTTTCCCTAGCTAAGCGATCCAAAATTAACGAGGTGTAATCTCAGATCAAACATGTTATATACGTACATGAAGGTAGCAAGTGCTCCTGTATTTTTATTTTATATTTTAAATATAAAGCATGGCGACAGTTTCTGCGTCGACAACTATTCACACCCGCCCTCGCAAAAAACCTTGTTGGTCAGTGAGGTAGTTGCATTTCAAGCCTTTTTTAACACAGTACAGACACCCGCGCTCATATATTTCATTAAGAACACGCGCATACACACTATCCTATGAGCCCCTCCGAAAGTAAGACTTGAACACACGCGCTCGTATACAAGAACTACGTTCCTCCGGACTCCAGACCTAAGCCATATGTTCATACTTGAGACCTATCAAAGTTGGCAATACAATGACTAGCTAAAATTTTGACTACGTATATGAGTAATGCAAGAACATATAAGAACTACGTTCCTCCAAATTATCCTTGATCTCCTTAACCAAAGAGGCATATTTAGACCTATTGATTTCTCCACTCTACACTGCTTCAAGACAATCAGATTCAACATCTATTGAAAGACTGCTCCATTGCGAGGTCAGCATAGGACCTTCCTTTATGGCAACACATCATCGCAGGAGAGCAAGTGTCGACATGAGCCCATCACAATCTCTGAGAATCATACGTGCTCCGACTGTTCCATTAGGAACCGACCCATCGGTGTTAAGCTTGATACAGGGGGAAGGGGAATGGGATAACATGAATTACTACCTCGTTATAGCATGTGGCAGCCATGAGCAGGAAGCATGTTGTAGCTGAGAACTTTCCTTTAGGCAAGTTTGTTTCTGCATCAAGTGCAATGTACTGTAAAGAGGCGAGGTAGCTCGCAAGAAATCTGCAAGATACATCAACAAGTGGTGCTGGCTTTGCATGAACGATCTCGTTGTGGATGTACTTCCTATGTAGGACTAATTTTCTGTACTCTTAAAAGTATGTACTCTGATCTTCAATATACCCCATATACACAATGATTATACCTCTTTATCATTCTTAATATACTTCACTAAATATTTTAAGATACCTCAATATGAGTGTCGGGGGATGGACCCGGGTAGGCACAAGACAACTAAATGACGCTTCAAAACACCGGGGCGGCCGACGCCCCTCAGTCCGACTGCTCCGGCCGGCTCGCCACCCGGCCTCTCCAGACGGCTCCCCGTCCGTCTGCCCCGGCCGGCTCGCCACCCGGCTGTTCCAACCTGCTCCCCGTCCAGCTGCTCCAGTCGGCCTGCTGTGCGGAGTCAACCGTAGCATCGACCCGACATGGACAAGATGGCCATACCGCGGCCACTGTTGCTGATAAAACACACACCGTTCACTCGTCACATGCGACGTCATCTGCAGTGTACCTTATTCCCTATGCCTCACGGACAAGACGTAGCTTAGCATGCAACTACACATAGCTTGAGATGTAAGCTACTCACTGTAGCTTACATCCCAAGCGACCCACTACTCATATAAAAGGGCACCAAGCCCTCCACTCTCTCATCCATTCTCTCTCTCACACACACTCACAGGATGAGGTTCCAAGCCTCATGCCCACACTAGCTCATACACACATTTACGATACAGCTCCAGGAGCAACTCTGTACTGCGATACATTCCTCATATACAGACATGCAAGAGCAGGGGTATTATCTTTCTGGAGAGCCCCGAACCTGGGTAAACCTCCACGTCATTCACATACCCGTCCCAGATATTCCACTATAGCCTTGCTCCACCCATGATAAGCCACCCCGTGGCATCTGCCGTGACGCGGTGCCCCTTGGCCACTCCCGCGAAAATACCACGACAGTTGGTGCCCACCGTGGGGCGAGCTGCTGCTGGAACCGCGGTCCGGGCGGGACCCTTTTCATCATCATCAATGCGGCGTCGTCATCGTCTCTCCGGTAGCGCTCGGGGGCCCGACATCGACATGCCCCCGGGGAGACCGCACGGGGCGGCGCGTCGTCTGTGGCTGAGAGTGGGCCTTTGGTACCATATACGCTACTAAACCGTCTGCAGGAACGGACGTATCGGGCCAAGCGGCCAGCCTCCGGGCCAACACTGGTTGGCGCCGGGGCGAACAGTAGTGCTACTGTAATAAATGCGGAGGTGGCCCCCGAGTGTCACTAGGGGTTATCCGTGTATGCACGGTGCAAAATTATACGAGTGAGGAGCTCACACTGCTTTGACGCAGACAAGGAGGAGGTTGTCAAAGACAGCCGGCTGAAGACTTGCGGCCGGCGCGGCTTGGCGCTCACGGAGCGCGCCGGCGCACCCACTTGGGGTAGCCTTCGAGCTTCCGGGTGCTCGAAGGAGGTCCCGGCGGGTCGGGCCTAACCAGTCAGGCGTTGAGGCGGACAGGTGACCTGGCCGGCTTGGCACAACCAGCGTTGAGGCGAACGGGCGGACGGGTCGGGCCCCAGCCAGCCACGCGTCATAGCCGCCAGGCGGACTGGGTGGCCAGACAGCGAGGCGGGCAGGCCGAACAGCCAACAGGGTGGTAGCCTGCCACATTTTTAGAGCACCGGACGCATCTCTTTTTCTTTCTTTTTTTAACACGAGCAGCCGGCTCCACCTTTTTCCTTTATATCTGCTCAGCTTCTCTTTGAACATCCGGACCAGGAGCCGGCGAGCGGGCGTGCGAACCCGACTGCGGCAAAATTTCGTGTTCTGAGCCTTTTGTGGTATAAATTCAGGATCTGGCCCCGGTTGGGATTTTTTTTGAGATTTGACCCTTTTTCTTACCGCCAGGGGCTCTAGCGGTAGGGTTAGACAGCCTACCGCCAGGGCCCCTGGCGGTAGGGTACTAATCCACGTCAGCGCACGGAGACAGCCGTCGGCCCCCTCCGTCGCACCCTATCGCCAGGGCACCTGGCGGTAGCCAGTCTAACCCTACCGCCCCCAGCGGTAGGGTCCG